CTCCCTCCCCCTCCTCCTTCCTCCTCCTTCCCCCCCTCCCTCCCTCCCTCCCTCCCTCCTTCCTCCTTCCCCCCCCTTCCCCCTCCTTCCCCCTCCTCCCTCCCTCTTCCCGCACATCCCTGCCGCTCGCTCCTCTCTCCCTCCTCCGTTCTCGTGACCGCTGCTCTGCTCCTCGTGGCCCTCGTGCTCCCGGCCCCGCGCCGCCCGCCGGCCGCCCGCCCTGGAGAGGCGGGGCAGGCTGGCGCCGAGTCGGCGGTGCCCCCGTCCTGGTTCCCGCTGGCGCTGTTTTCTTTGCCAGTTGTTGTATCCCCTCCTCCTCCTCTATCTCTCTCTCTCTCTCTTCCTCTTCCCATCGCTACAGTTTTCGACGCACCTATGCTTTCATTATCTCACTCGGTTGCCTATGGCGCAACTTCGAGTATGCCGACGCGTCCTTCAGGATGCATGGCCTTTGCTTGCTTGCTTCCATGCTAGAGGTCAGAGCAGGAAAAGGTACCCATACCTCTCCCCCCTCGCCCGTTTTCCCCTTTTCGGGCCTCCTTGCAGGCCCTCGTCGCCACCTCTGGATTCGCCTCGAAGTCCTGGTTCGGGGGGTAGCGGCATCGGTGCCTCTCGGTTTCCCCGAGAGGGTCCCGAGGAAGAAGAAGGCTTGCCCTCCTATTCCATCCCTGGCCCCTCCTCTCCCCTCCCGTCCACATGCCCACCCCTCCGCCTGCTGCCTCCCCCCCCCCGCCCCTGGCGGCGCCTCCGGCGCCGCCCCTGGCGCGCTCCGCGTGCCAAGGAGGGGGGTTCAGCGCCGATCCGAGAAATCCGCGCGGACCTCCGAGTTGGTTCCCAACCCTCCTTGGCTGGGTATGCACTGCGGTCGCGTCTTCTCCTCCCGCCTCCTGCCTCTCGCCGTTTTTCTTGTCAATCTCTCTCTCTCTCGTTCTCTCTTGCGTTCTTTATCTCGTTCTCTCTCTCTCTCTGTCTCTCTCTCTCTTTGCCTGCGGTCCCTGTCTAGGACCTCGCCGTCCCTGGGTGGCTGCGATCTGCGACACTGTCGCCACAGTACCTGTCTAGGACCTCGCCGTCACTGGGGGCTGCGATTTGCGACATTCTCGCCACTTCCGAGGGCTGCTGGTGGGTCCAGCGGAGCGAGGCACCGCGCAGACCTGAGCGGGACCTCGCCGTCCCTGGGGGGCTGCGCTCTGCGACATTGTCGCCACTTTCGAGGGCTGCTGGTAGGTCCAGCGGAGTGAGGCACCGCGCAGACCTGAGCGGGACCTCGCCGTCCCTGGGGGGCTGCGCTCTGCGACACTGTCGCCACTTTCGAGGGCTGCTGGTGGGTCCAGCGGAGTGCGGCACCGCGCAGACCTGAGCGGGACCTCGCCGTCCCTGGGGGGCTGCGCTCTGCGACACTGTCGCCACTTTCGAGGGCTGCTGGTGGGTCCAGCGGAGCGAGGCACCGCGCAGACCTGAGCGGGACCTCGCCGTCCCTGGGGGGCTGCGCTCTGCGACACTGTCGCCACTTTCGAGGGCTGCTGGTGGGTCCAGCGGAGTGAGGCACCGCGCGGATCTGAGCGGGACCTCGCCGTCCCTGGGGGGCTGCGATCTGCGACCTTGTCGCCACTTTCAAGGCTTGCTGGTGGGTTCAGCGTATCCCTGATGTGCCTGGTGTGTCTTGTGCCCTTGGTGTGAGTTGTGTGCCCAGTGCGTCCAGTGTTCTGGTGGGCCTGGTGGGCCGGTTGCGTGTGTTGTGCCTGATGTGCCCCTTGTGCTTTGGTTATTCGTTGTGCCCGGTGGGCCTCGCATGCTTGGTGTGTCAGTGCGTGTTTTGTCTTTGGAGTGCTTGGTGCGCCCCGTAACCCTGATGTGCCTCATGTGCCCGGTGCGTTCGACGTTCCTGAGATGCTTGATTTGCCAGATCTCGGACCCAGCGCGGGCACACGACGGGAACACCGGGTACATTTTCACTCTTTCTGGAGCGTCGCCCGCTCTGGTGCGAGCTGTCAGGTCGGACATGGTTTTACAATCGCACGCTCCACACATTTTGGAACGTAGCCAGGGCCAGCCTAGCGGCGCCCCGCCGCGGGTTCAGAAAATGCGTCTTCGCGTGGGAATTGTGGTTCGAGGGAGCCAATGTCATGTCGTTGCTGCCCCGCCGACGTTTCAAGCCCGTTGCCCGCCTTCTCCGTTTGGGTCTCGCCTTAGTGACTCAGGGGTCCACTTATCACTCATCCCTACCACGCTCTTTCCCCTTGATCAGGGACCTGCGAACCTCTCGAGTGCCGCTCGCAGCAGTGTATGCGTCCATGTCACGTCGCCATCCTCTCACCAGATTTTTCAGAGCTGCTCCTGCCCTGCACCGAGAAGGGGTTGGGTACAGTCGGGGCCCTGAAGAAGGAGCCCTTTTCGGGGGGGAGGGGCTCGGTGTTCCTTGATTGGGCTGCAGTTTGCCTTGGGTTTTCCTTAGGTTTTCAATGGCAAATCGAAGTTTAACTTATGGAAAAAAGGGGCCTCGCGCCTTATTTAGGGTTCCTTAGGTCAACGCCCCGACTGTACGTCGCCAGGGTCGTTTCGTCTATGTCATTGTTCGCTTCCCTAGGGGACGGGCCTCCTGCTCTTCGTGCTGCGGGTGCTGCTGCCCCCCCCTTCCCTCGAGCGGGGGTGGAGGCAGCAGGCGGAGGGGTGGGCATGTGGACGGGAGGGGAGAGGAGAGGCCGGGGATGGAATATGAGGGCAAGTCTTCTTCTTCCCCTCCTTCTTCTTCACCTCCTTCTTCTTCTTCGTCTCCTCCTTCTTCCTCCTCCTCCTCCTTTCTCTCATCCTCCTTTTTCTCATCCTCCCGCTCCTTCCTTCTCTCTCAAGCCACGGAGGGTCCAATCCTCTGAGCCCCTCGTACCTGGGATTTCATTGTGACGGCCGGCGTCGTGCAAAAAACCAACGCGCCACTCAGCGCCACTCAGCGCCAGTCAGCGCCACTCAGCGCCATTCAGCGCCATTCAGCGCCACTCGTCCATTGCCTGGCGCAGAGTGGCGCAGAGTGGCGCTGAGTGGCGCTGACTGGCGCTGAGTGGCGCTGACTGGCGTTGGGTGGCGCAGAGTGGTGCGGCGACGCACTGGTGGCGCGAACCGGTGCTGAGTGGCGCTCGGTGGCGCTGAGCAGCGCTGAGAGGAGGAGGGGTGCGAGGAGGAGCACGAGGCCGAGGAAGAGGAGGATGAGGGACATGAGGAGGGGCAGGAGGAGGGGGATGGAGAAGGAGGAGGAGGAGGAAGAGGGACAGGAGGAGGTGGAGGAGGAGGAGGCGGAGGATCTGGAGGAGTCCTATTGGAGCCATGGGGCCCTCTCTTCGAGGCATATTGGAGGCCATTTTGGGGCCATCTGAGGATGCATTATGCCGTATCGGTTGGGCTATCCAGAACCCCCTCGGGGTCATCTTGTAGCCTCTCGGGGGCCTCTTGAGCCCATCTTATGGGCTTCGGGATGCCCGATCCAAGAGGAGGACATCGATCAAAGAAAGGGTCACCATCGTGGCGCCATCGCATCCATTACCTTCGTCATCCTTGCCGCCTGCTCCCTCGTCACCTTCGTCAGCCCTAGCCCATATTGCGCTCATATTTTTGGCAATCGCGATGGCTTGCGCCATCTGCCTCCGCGGCCTCGAGCCAGGCGACTCGTGGTCCTTGCTGTGCGGGCATGCGTACCACAAGGATTGCATATCCCAGGAGTTCGACAGGCGTCGCTTGACCCACGTGATGGACCTGCCTTGTCCCCAGTGCAGGCAGACAGGTCGCGACATGGAGGCCGCCGCGGATGGGTTGCAGACAGAGGAGGAGGACGCGGACGTGGGCCTGGCCCGCGACCGTAGTCGCAGCCCGGGCCCGCGATCAGCGGCGCGCCCCAAGCGCGCGCCTGCCCCTCGCGCAAGCTCCGCGCGAGGGGCGTTCCGCATCCCGAACACGCAGGGCGAGGGGCACAGGGTCATTCGCGCGAGGCGTCAGCCCGCGCGGATTGCAGATCCTCCGGTCGATGCTGGGCCAGGGCCAGCGCCCGGCGCCGCGGGGGCGTCGGCGGGGTCGCCGCCACCGCGGCGCGGCCGCGACGAGGGCGACGATGGCGCGCCCATTCTGGCGCTCCGCGGCGCAGTCGTGGCGGCGGGGTCGCCGCCGACGCAACGCGGCGGCGAGGATGAAGGCGAGGGTTCGCCTGCGCCAACGCAGCGGACTGGTCGCTCCCCGGCTTTTCGGGGGAGAACCTGCACATCATTTTGTCGCTTCTCCTCCCCCCCCGCGGCGGCCAGATGCCCGGGGAGGGGGAGATCGATTGCGCTCATTATTGCCGCCCCTCCGTCAGGTTCTGCGGGACGACAACTTCGGGTTCGAGTTCAGGGACATCCGCGGCCGCGCAGGCGTCGCCCACGCAGTGCGCGACCCCCCCGCGGGGTTGCTGGACCAGCTGCTAGCGGTGACGAGCCAGGGCGAGTTCGAACGCGTGATCCACCCGCACGATTTATTCAACGGCCTCGCCAGCGTGGACGAAATCTACGCAACCGTCACGCAAGAGCTGGAGAGGATGGAGGCCGACGCCAGGGACCACGTCGCTGTGGGGGGCGACCTGGCTTTTTCCTTGCGCTTGTGCGGCCCCATGCCCGGCGCTCGGCCGTGGTCGATCGCTCGGCAGCGGCCCGTCTGCCTGATTCGGCCCAGAGCCTCTCCAGAACGATCGAGTACATTTTTTGTAGAGGGGGGAGGGGAGGAGGCGGGTTCGGCTCGACGGCCCGATCGAGCTCGCCAGATCGATCCCGCCATTTGTCAGGTCAGGCCAGGCTGCATAATGACTTGTGGTTTTCGTGGGGCGAAGTCCCGTGGGATCTGTCATTCTGCATAGAAGCCCACGGTTTTTTTTTAGCATGTTTAATATTGGCGCCCCGCCGCCTCCTCTTTTCGCAATGGGTCCCGCAGCTGTGGATGTTTTGCAGTTGCGCGATTCCTACGGGAATTGCACAGGTTTTGCACAAGACCCACAGATCCCACGGAAAACGCTTCGTTTTTTTTGAGAGGCTTCTTGTATTTCTTCCGCGGGATTCGAATGGTCCGATCGAGTTCGCCAGATCGGGCCCGCCGGTTAGCCGATCGCCGGTGTCTCGCACTAAGTCCTCTCGTGAAGGCTCTCCATTCTATCCGCCTGCGCGAGCGGTGGGCGCCGGAGCCTGCACCAGGGGATTCTGGCGAACGGCGGGTGGTTGGAGAACGCGGGCACCCGCTTGAAGTTGCGCCCCGACGAGCAGCACTTGCGGGCCCCAAACGTGCCCGCGTTCACCGGCATGCCCCCTTCCATGCGGAAATCCAGTCTGCATCGGTTCGTCACCTCGACATTATTGGAGGACGAGCGCGCCGAGGAACCGCGGGCGCCCACCTTGTCCAGAGCGCCCCTTGCTTCCCCCTTCGCCTTTGCAGTGGGTGCGTTGTGCCGGGGAATTAGCAGGCTTGTAATGCTGCCATCTGCCTTGTGCTGCCATGTGCCGCTTGCGCATGCGGTGCCCCGCCCATGCCCCTGGCGCCCCCTGGCGCCAGCCGATGTGTGTGTGTGTGTGTGTGTGTGTGTGTGTGTGTGTGTGTGTGTGTGTGTGTGCGTGTGTGTGTGTGTGTGTGTGTGTGTGTGTGTGTGTGTGTGTTTTCTCCCCCCGGCTCCCGAGGAGGGCCTCCGGATGGGCCAGTGCTTGGCGGCGGACGGGACGCTTCGCGGGCACCGCGCAAACATTTTCAATTTGGGTCGCAGTGGCATTTCAGCTGACGAAGTCAGCACGGCGTACAATACCCGCCTGACGGAAGAGGGCTCTGAGATGCATCTGGCCAACAAGGCGAAATTGTGCACTCGGGCCCAGTGAAGCGACCCCCCCCCCTTTAAGTTTCGTTTAGTGCGTCGCTCGAGCGTCGCCCGTGCGCCGGCCCTGGTTTGCGTCTCTGTCTCGAATCCCAGCCTCCCAGGGTGCGTGGGCGACATGTGGCGCGACTTCGGAATTTCTCTGGCGATATATAGGTTTCCGACGCCGGTGCACCAGCAGCCATTTTGGCGGTCGCGGCGCACTCCTAGTTCGACGGTCCACCAACGCGTTCTGTTCCCAATTCGGCGCAAGAGGATTTGCTGGTGCTCATTGTCGGGGGCGCCAACCGTTGCTGAGGACGAAGACGCCTCGCGTTGATTGGGGGCTGTGCGCGTCGCGCCACGGTGGGGGCGACGTCACGTCGCGCGACGCGGCGCCTTTTCGCCCCGTCGCATCGCGCCCCGCACCCCCATGTCGTTTCGCGCCAATCCTCCTGCCCCCCCCTCTTCCTTCCTTTTCCCTTCGTCCAACGCGCTGCGCGTTTTGTCCCGTTTGCGAAATTTGTATTCAGTTCTTTTGTGTCAGGCTGCCGTCCTGTCCGCCTCCCTACTCACCCCCCGTTGTCCTTCCACTCTCCTGGAACTTCTTCTCGCCCTCCTCGCTCCCGCCGCCCCCCTTCGATCGCCTTCCATCGCTCCCGCCGCCGCTGCGCCGCCCCCGCGCGCCCCCTCCTCGCCCGTCCGTTCCCATTTCCGTCCGCCCTTCCCTCGCCTCACTTCCGCCTTCTTTTCCCCCCCCAATGCATCGGCGGGCGAGACGTCGCCAAATTGCTGCAGCGACGGACCGATGTTCAAAATCTGACGGGGCGTGCGCTTGAAATGGATTAGTCCGCGCGCGCTGCGTCTCCATGCCGTCTATTGGTCTCCTCGCGTTCGTAGTTCTCACGTGTGTGTCTCGCTATTTCTACGATTGCCGCGCGCATCCCTTGATTGTTTCACCGGCGGGCCGTGCAGTTCACATGCCGCCAGGGGCCCACGGCGCCCTCCGAGCGATTCGCGCGCGACCTGCGCGCGACGCGCGAACGACCCGAGCGACGCCCGCGCGACGCACGCGCGACGCGCGCGCGACGCACCCCGACCCGCGCGCGACGCACCCCTGCCAGCGCGCGACGCACGATCGACCGCGCGCGACGCACGCGCGACGCGCGCGCCACGCGCGCGACGCACGCGCGACGCATGCGCGACGCACGCGCGACGCACGCGCGACGCACGCGCGACGCTCGCGCGACGCATGCGCGACGCAGTCGCGAGTTTGCCCGCCCCTAGCATTTCTCCGAGCAGCAATGCGCAACGGCCGTCGGCCCGCCGTGCTTGCGCTGTTCACAAGTGGCGGCGGCTGCGTCCTCCATTGCGCCAGGAAGGGCGGTGCTTGCCCCTGGTAGTTCCTTTTTTTCTTCGTCGTCGCCCCTCATCTTTTGTCATTCCTCCTCCTTCGTCCTCTCTCCTGCCTCGTCTCCCTCTCTCCTCCCCTTCTCCTCCTCCATTCTGCCGGCCGCCCTCTGTCTGTCCCTCCCCCCTGTTCTCTCGTTTTTTTTTTTTTTTTTTTTTTTTTTTTTTTTTTTTTTTTTTTTTTTTTTTTTTTTTTTTTTTTTTTTTTTTCTCCTCTCTCTTCTTCTTCTTCTTCTTCCCCCCTCCACCCCGTGCCCCTCTTCATTTTCTGTTCCCGTCGGCCCCCCTTCCACGGCCGCGGCGCGTCGCTGCGAGCGGTGCCCCCGCCTTCCGCTAACGGCCCCGCCGCTGGCGGTGGAAGAGGAAGATGATTACGAGGAGAAAAGGAGGGGGGGGGCAGGGGCGCGAGGCGGGCGCGGCGGCAAGGGCGGCCCGGCAGGGGAATGGGGGGGGGGGAGGACGGAGTGGGCGGGTGCTTCTGTAATGGTCATGTTGGTGATCATGGTCGTGGTCGCGTTCGTCGCCTTGGTCGCGTCGGCGGCGGTCGTGCCGCTGGTGGTGGGCGGGCTGGTGGTGGTCACGACGGTGATCGTGCTGGTGTCGGTCGTTGTGGCGGTCGCGAGAAGCGTAGTGGTCGTGGTGGTGGTGATGGCGGTAATTGGTGTTGGTCGTTATCGTCGCGGTGGATGTGGTTGCGGTCGCATCCGTTTGTGGTGATCTTGGCGGCGGTAGTTCTGTGCTGGCGGCGGTTGCGGCGGTTGTGGCGGCGGCTGCGGGGACCTGCTGGCCTGTCGCCGGGCTGCGTTCAGCAGCGTCGCTGCATTTGTAATGTTAGGGGGTTTGCTGATCTGCCGAGGTCGCCCAGCGGCCGCCTTCTTCTCCCCAAGAGGGCCGCAGCGTGGGCGACTTTCTTTTTCCAGGAGGCGACCGGCCCTTTCAGCGGCCGTGGAGAGGGCGACGCGCGTGCGATCCGCCCCGTGGGTGTCCGCCGCGCTGGCGACGCACTCACCAAACAACCCCCTTGCGAGGGCGACGTGCACGTTCGAGAGGACGGCTGGCCATTTCGGCGGCCGACGCGCGGGCGGCGCACGGGCGACGAATGCGCGACGCACCTCCTGTCGCGAAGGGGGGGGGGTCAGCGCGCCGGTCGCTTTGCTGGGCCTCAACACTAGTGCACTGCGAGAGAGACTCCTCGGTCACCGGCAGAGCTCCCGAGCAGCTGTCAGCCTACAGCTTCTACCACCTGGTGCACGGGCAGGCCCCGCCCGTCGTGGAGGTCGCCAGACCCGCGGCTGGCGGATTCGCAAAGGGGTTCCACGTGCTCTTTGTGCAGGGCATCTCCGCGGGGAACCCGGATCAGTCCACTGAGGAGTCCGTTGCTTTTTTGAAGTGTTTCTTCGGCAGGATGGGCGAGGGCGTGGAGCCCGCGCGGCAGGTGCCGCTGCGCCGTCTCTGTCAGGAGCCGACGGCGCTAGATTTTTTTTTGGGTCGGCTCGGCGGTCCGATCGAGCGCGCCAGACCGATCCTTCCAGTTAGCCGATCGTTGGCCCCGCGCTACGTCTTCTTTCTCGTCTGGCCCGATGGGCGCAGGTCAACGCCCCCCGTGCTGAAGTCAGCTTGGGCCGCGTAGTGGCCGGTGGTTCTCGTGGGGCGAACTCCCGTGGGATCTTTTATTCCGCCTGGAAACTCACAGGTTTTTAAACATGTTTAATATTGTCGCCCCGTCGCCCCCTTTTTCGCAATGCCCCCCGCGGCTGTGGATGTTTGGCAATTGCGTGATTGCTGTTGGAATTATAGCGGTTTTGCACAAGGCCCACAGATCCCACGGACAAAGTTTTTTTTTTTTGAGGGGGTTGAGAGGCTTCTTGTCGTTGTTCTGCGGGGGCGCTTGCGCCCGTGACTCGCGGGCTCCGATGGTCCGATCGAGTTTTCCAGATCGGGCCCGCCAGTAAGCTGATCGCCGGTGCGGCAGGTGAACTGCCCGGGCCGCTACGCGCACCTCATGATGGAGGCCGCCCTGGCGGCCGCGGCGGACTTCGAGCAGGCGCGGCCGCGCCTTGACCGCGTATTCGGGTCTTCGGGCTACCCCCAGGGCTACCCTTGGCCTACCCCCCGGGCTACCCCTAGGTGTTGACCCAAGCGTTGGGCCGAATCGCGCGCCTCTGCGATGCCCAGCTGGACTGCTCCGCGTCGTACTGCAATTACCGCGCCGAGAAGGCGTTCAAGGCCGAGCTGCGGCGCGTGCAGCGCTGGTACCGGCCGGGGCGCCGGCGGCGACGGTGGCGCGCCGGCGTCGCGCGCGAGCGGCGGCAGGCCGTCGCCGTCAAGTGCGCTCGGAGCGTGATCACGCAGAAGGTGCGCGACCACTTCCGCAGGATGCGTCGCCGAGTTAAGGTGGAGGGCTTGATGAATTGGCGGGATGTTGCGCTCGCCACGCGACAGGCTGGCATTCCCGTCCAGTCTGGCACCGTCCCAGTGGAGCGCCTGTGGTCCTACCTCGAGGACGTGATGCCTTCAGCCGCGCGGGGCGTATCGCTCCGGTGGTTTCGGGTCCTCAGCGTGGTGATGTTCCTCCGCTACAACTACGCGCACTTCAACAAGGACAACCTGCCGACGATGGCGGAGCGGGACCCTCTGCTCGGCCAGCGCCTGGCGACGATCGCCATGCTCGCGCGGGCTGTTAACGAGTCCGACCAGGGCTTGTCGCACCTAGCGCCTCTTTTTGACCCGTTCGGTTCGCGCTGACGCGCCACGCGGGGCGCGACCTGCTATTTGTTCCTTCCCTTTGATTTTTGTTCGTGCCCGTGGGCCTGGCCGCGCGCTGCAAAGTTCGCGCGAGTTGCCGCCGCCGCGGCCGCGGCCGCGCCATTTTGTGGCATTTCGGCCCCCGGTGCCCCTGTCCCCCACACGCGTGGCCAATATTTGCCTTTACCAGAATGCGCGATGGCAGTTTGGCTCGTTCTGTCCGCGGCTCCGGTCGCGAGATTTGATGTTTCCTCTGCTTGCCTCTGCGCGGACGGTTCGTATCGTCTCCGCCGCGGCTTCGGCCGCGCGCGGTCGTTTTCTCCGATTGTCTCCGCCTGCGCGGTTCATTCCACCCATATCTCTCCCTCTCCCTCTCTCTCTCTCTTTCTCTCTTTCCCCCTCTCTCTCTCTCTCTCTCTCTCTCTCTCTCTCTCTCGGTCCGCGTCGCTACCGCCCGAGAACCAGTGGCGCCTGCAGGCAGGCGTTTTTTTTTTTTTTTTTTTTTTTTTTTTTTTTTCTCTTTCCCCCCCCCCCCCCCCCCCCCCCGACCTTCCTTCTCTTCCTGCTCCACCCGTTTTTCTCATTCTGCTGCTGCGTTTGTTGGCTTTCGTGAGGCGAATTGCCGTGGGATCTGTGGTTCCCCGTTGAAAAAACAATGGTTTTCATTTGTTTTTTGTCTTGGCGTCGCGCCGCCCCCCTCTTCCAGTGTCGTTCGGAGCTGTGATATGTTTGCAGCTGCGCGAAAACTATGGTCTTCGTATAGGCTTTCTGTAGGAGCTGGTAGATCCCACGGGAAACCCTTCGATTTTTTTGGAAGCGTTTCTGCCCAGGTCCTGCGGGGGGGCGTTGCGCCAGTGGTTCCGCCAGATCCCACCCCCGGGCTCGCGAGGTTCCAGTGGCCTCCTGCGTCCTGATTTGCTTCCTGTGTTCCGATGCTCCTCGTAAGCCCTCCAGTCGTCCTCTGCGTCTTCCTCTAGTTAAGCGTCCCTTCGCCGCAGCTCGCTTGTTCCCGAGGTGAGGATTTCCGCTCTGGCAATCATCCGATGGCGTGCTTTGGCAACTTTTCGATGGCTTATCGAAGAGCGGACAATAGATGCACGGTGTCGAGTCTAGATTGGACACCCCTGCTCCCCCACTGCTTGCGATTTAAGATGGCCCTGCTGTTAGTGTGCACCACCCCCAGCCCGAGGATATCGAAGGATCGGATGGGGGGGGAGGAGAATGAGGGAGGGGCGGGGGCGACGGGACGGGGAAGGGCGGGGCAGGGCCCTCCTACTCGTTGTCGTCGTCGTCCTCCTCCTCATCCTCCTCGCCCTCCTCCTTTTCGTCTTCGTCCTCGTCCTCCTCCCCACCCTCCCCATCATTTTCTTCCTGCAGCCGCTGAGTGGCGCCGGGTGGCGTTGAGTGGTGCCGAGTGGCGCTGACTGGCGCCGAGTGGCGCCGAGTGGCGCCGAGTGGCGTTGAGTGGCGCCGAGTGGCGTTGAGTGGCGTCGAGTGGCGCCGTTCGAAGTTGAGTTGCTCCCTGGAGTGGCGCCGAATGGCGTTGACTGGCGCTGAGTGGCGCAGAGTGGCGCCGAGCGGCGGTGAGTGGCGCTGAGTGGCGCGTTGGTTTTTTGACCCCGCGGGGCCGTCACGCTGTGGGATTTATGCCCGCGTTATGGCGGTTGCGGCATGGGGGCGGCCGTGTGCCTGGTCATGAACTGCCGCAACACCGGGCTGCAGAAATCGCGCGTGCCATCTTTCCATTCCCCGCCGAGGGGGTTCTCGCGCTGGTGAGGCGCAGCGGCCTCGAGGTGGCGATTTTCAGTCACGCGGCCTTTGGGCAAGCTCGTCGGTAGCTCGCCGGTGCTCGGGCAGGCGCCCGCCGAGCACAACATGGTGGAAGAGGTTGTCTTGGCGTCGCTCGGGCGTGTGCATTGTTTCCTTCGGCGAGGACCATCGAGGAGCATCCTTGATCATTGGGAAAAAACCACGCACGAAATCGAAAAAAACACAGGGAATGGACGTCCGAGCGATGGCCAATTGAGGGCATCAACAGGGAGGCCCACCAGTGATGGGCGCTCAAGGGGCGCGCGCTGGGCACCACGCAGAGCACGACGGATCTCGACAATATCGACGACGCGGCGAAGGTGCTCCTGAGGGCAAGGCTTTTTCTAGTGTCGAGCTTTCGTGCGGCGGGGCTCGCTGTTGCGTTCAGCGGAGTCGGCTTTTCACACCGATGCGCTCGCCATAGACTGGGCGCTACAGCATCTGATCAACACTGTTTCGCTCTGAGATCATCGGCGCTGCGGGGCGGGCCACTGCCCATGCCCGACTCCAAAAGAAAAAGAAAAGGCGGATACTATCCCGACAATATCACGGATGTACATTCGCTGCCGGCATACCACCTGCTCGGGAAACTCGGTTGGAGCTCGTCGAGCACCACGAAGCACGACATGCCTTGCGAAATGGACCTGGCGACGCTGTATCAGGAGCAAGGCGCAAATATGTACATGTGTGCACCTGCAGTATTTTGTCAGCATCGAAGGAGGCGGGATGAAGGCGCACTTGGCTGAGGTTGTGAAAAGGGGTTAGAATTGCAGGTTCGCCAGCTGGAAACGCTTGCTGGGTGCCACACCTTGGAGCCCGGCCAGATTTTTATAGACCTTGGCAAGACTACTGGCGCGACGAATGCGCAGGTGGGAACTCTACGCATATTTTGGCAATATCAGCGGGGGGATGCAGGTGCACGCTATATATACAGATGTATATATGTATGTATATATATATATACACATAGATACATGTATTTCTATGGACAATTTCGCCCAAGAGACGAACAATCAGCTGGTCGCACTCAAGAGGGAGAAGAAGGCGCCTACAGTTGCAGTCAGTGTAGACCAACGTAAGGTCACGGACGTCACGAAGGGGCATATGGCCGAACTCTGGAGAAAGAGGAGCTGAAGGTGCAGCTGCCCGGGCCCAAGGAGGAACTCGGATCCTCGCTGACGCAGTCGGGTGATGTCTGTGAAAGACATTTCGACATGCTCACGATGATGCCGGACGGAGGGCTCGCGAAGTGTATCCACGGTCTGAAGGAGAATTCGTGCGCGGGCGTGCGGCCCCGCCCCCTTCTTCCTCCTCCTCCTCCTCCTCCTCCTCCTCCTCCTCGTTTTCCTCCTCCTCCGCCTCTTCCCCCTCTTCGGCGGGCCGCGGCGGGGCGCGCGCGCGCAGGCTCCTGGAGCCGCATGGGGAGGCAGTGGGTGGCGCGTGGGTTTGCGTGCGTGCTTCGCCTCTCCCTCCCCGCCCCTCCCTGCCCCTTGGGTCCAGTTGGGAGCCGGGAGGGTTGTGCCGTGTCCCGTGGCGCGCCCATGCTGATCTGCAGTGCTCTGTCCGCCCGAAGTGTCCATTCCGTTCCTTTCCCCCTCCTCTTACTCCGCGTCTTCCCGGCGCCGCCTTTCTCCCTCCTCCTTGCTGCTGATGCTTCTTCCCCTCCTGTCGTTCCTCCTCCGGGTTCTCCTCGTCTGGCTCCTCTGCCTACTCGCCTCGGCCAGTTGGGCGAGCGCGCGCGCGACCGCGCCCCCTCTCTGGGACGAGCGCCTTGCCCGATTGACGTCAGGCGAGGGCGACTGCCGCTCGGAGCCCTCAGCGGAGTTTCGGGCGAAGGAACGGGAGTCAAGACTCGAGGCCTCGATCCTCGAACCTCGTTTCTGGATCCTCGATCCTGGTGGGGCGGGCGAGGCTAATCTTCGCCCGCCTTCGGGCGACGCGAGGACGCGGGCTGCGCTTCCTTCGTTTCTGGGCGTGACAGAGATTAATTCGACCGCCTTGTCCTCGTGGGGGGCCCAGTGTAGCTCTGGGGGAAGGGGTGAAGGCTTTTCAGCGCTCTCGGGACCTGCCGACGTTCGCTTGGCTTGTCCCGCCTCTTTTGCTCGGGATGTTAGCCAACGTGCTGACGTCCACCCGTGCGTGGCAGTTGCACGCCGGGAGGCCGCGGGGGGAGTGTTCCACGCAGAGAGCCTCGACAAGGGGGGACCCCAGCGGTTCCCCGGGGAAAGTCCTCGGAACGGGGGTCTTCGCGTTCTCTCCGCCTAGCGGAGAGGAGCACCAGGCTCGCGGGCCGCTGCGCTGTGGCCGCTGTGGCCGCTGCGCTGCACGGGCGCACGCGCGGGGCGGCAGCACGCCTGCGGCAGCCCGCGGCACGTGGGATCATGGCTTCAGGTGCGCTTGTTTTGGTGCACGCTTCGCGGCGGACCCCGCCCAGCACTGCGCCGCCATTTCGCGGGGCCCGCCCCCGCACCGAGACCCCCGCCCGCGCGCGCGCGCGCCGGGTCGCACAGCGAGGCCCACCGGTCCTGGACCGATGCCCCCGCCGGTGCGACGCGGCGGCGCCTCGGCGCTCGACGCGCAATGCTTTCTTGATCCCGACTTGCCCGCGCACTGGCGGCACCCCGGCGTGCCACCAATTGTGGAGAGAGGCCCCCGACGATGCGACCCATGTGCGCAACCACGCTTGGCGCGAGGCGCTCTCGCGATGTCGATATCCCGGCGCTCTGACGGCGCTTCGAGTCGCCAGCAGTCGCAGAGCGGGGCCTCCCCCGACGCGACGTTGTCTCGATCCTGATCTTCCCGCGCCCCGCGGAACGGGGCTCCGCCTGCCGCGACGCACGACACTTTAACCCTCGTTGACGAGGGTAGATGCAGGCGCAGTGCGAGTTACGTATTGAACGTGGATTGGGATCCAGGCGGCGCGACCGCGCAGCTGAACATCCCACCCCAGACGATCTTGGTGTGGGGGGCGTGCATGCGTTTTCAGGACTCCCATATCGTTTTTTTTTGTTTTTTTTTTTTTTTTTTTTTTTTTTTTTTTTTTTTTTTTTTTTTTTTTTTTTTATTTTTTTTTTTTTTTTTTTTTTATATTAAAAAATATATTATTATATATAATATATATATATATAAATATATATATATATTATATATATATTATATATATATATATATTTTAAAACTATGTGTGTTTT